ATATATATATATATATATATATATATATATATATATATATATATATATACACACACATATATATATATCACTATTAATACAGTGTACTTATTAAATGCTTATAATTTCTCAGGCACTGTGTTAAACCCTTCATATATATTTGCCATTTGCCACCTCTATCAAAAGGTTGCTGATATGGCTATTATCATATTATAAAAGAAAAACAATCTTGACCAAGTACTTTGCCTTAGATTCCACATAGTAAGAAAGAGCAAAGTCAGAAGCTGAATTTATTTATTTATTTTTTTTAAATTTTTTATCGTTGGCTGTTCAAAACATTACATAGTTCTTGATATATCATATTTCACACTTTGATTCAAGTGGGTTATGAGCTCCCCTTTTTACCCCATATACAGATTGCAGAATCACATCAGTTACACATCCATTGATTTACATATTGCCATACTCGTGTCTGTTGTGTTCTGCTGCCTTTCCTATCCTCTACTATCCCCCCTCCCCTCCCCTCCCCTCCCCTCTTCTCTCTCTGCCCCCTCTACTGACATTCATTTGTCCACCTTGTATTATTTTTCCCCTTCCCCTCACTTCCTCTTGTATGTACTTTTGTATAACTCTGAGGGTCTCCTTCCATTTCCATGCAATTTCCCTTCTCTCTCCCTTTCCCTCCCACCTCTCATCCCTGTTTAATGTTAATCTTCTTCTCATGCTCTTCGACCCTACTCTGTTCTTAGCTACTCTCCTTATATCAAAGAAGACATTTGACATTTGTTTTTTAGGGATTGGCTAGCTTCACTTAGCATAATCTGCTCTAATGCCATCCATTTCCCTGTAAATTCTATGATTTTGTCATTTTTTAATGCAGAGTAATACTCCATTGTGTATAAATGCCACATTTTTTTTATCCATTCATCCATTGAAGGGCATCTAGGTTGGTTCCACAGTCTAGCTATTGTGAATTGTGCTGCTATGAACATCGATGTAGCAGTGTCCCTGTAGCATGCTCTTTTTAGGTCTTTAGGGAATAGACCGAGAAGGGGAATAGCTGGGTCAAATGGTGGCTCCATTCCCAGCTTTCCAAGAAATCTCCATACTGCTTTCCAAATTGGCTGCACCAATTTGCAGTCCCACCAGCAATGTACAAGTGTACCCTTTTCCCCACATCCTCGCCAGCACTTGTTGTTGTTTGACTTCATAATGGCTGCCAATCTAACTGGAGTGAGATGGTATCTTAGGGTGGTTTTGATTTGCATTTCTCTGACTGCTAGAGATGGTGAGCATTTTTTCATGTACTTGTTGATTGACTGTATGTCCTCCTCTGAGAAGTGTCTGTTCAGGTCCTTGGCCCATTTGTTGATTGGGTTGTTTGTTCTCTTATTGTCTAATTTTTTGAGTTCTTTGTATACTCTGGATATTAGGGCTCTATCTGAAGTGTGAGGAGTAAAGATTTGTTCCCAGGATGTACACTCTCTATTTACCTCTCTTATTGTTTCTTTAGCTGAGAAAAAACTTTTTAGTTTGAGTAAGTCCCATTTGTTGATTCTAGTTATTAACTTTTGTGCTATGGGTGTCCTATTGAGGAATTTGGAGCCCGACCCCACAGTATGTAGATCGTAGCCAACTTTTTCTTCTATCAGACGGCGTGTCTCTGATTTGATATCAAGCTCCTTGATCCATTTTGAATTCACTTTTGTGCATGGCGAGAGAAAGGGATTCAGTTTCATTTTGTTGCATATGGATTTCCAGTTTTCCCAGCACCATTTGTTGAAGATGCTATCCTTCCTCCATTGCATGCTTTTAGCCCCTTTATCAAATATAAGGTAGTTGTAGTTTTGTGGATTGGTTTCTGTGTCCTCTATTCTGTACCATTGGTCCACCCGCCTGTTTTGGTACCAGTACCATGCTGTTTTTGTTACTATTGCTCTGTAGTATAGTTTGAAGTCTGGTATCGCTATACCGCCTGATTCACACTTCCTGCTTAGCATTGTTTTTGCTATTCTGGGTCTTTTATTTTTCCATATGAATTTCATGATTGCTTTCTCTATTTCTACAAGAAATGCCGTTGGGATTTTGATTGGCATTGCATTAAACCTATAGAGAACTTTTGGTAATATCGCCATTTTGATGATGTTAGTTCTGCCTATCCATGAACAGGGTATATTTTTCCATCTTCTAAGATCTTCTTCTATTTCTCTCTTTAGGGTTCTGTAGTTTTCATTGTATAAGTCTTTCACCTCTTTTGTTAGGTTGATTCCCAAGTATTTTATTTTTTTGAAGATATTGTGAATGGAGTGGTTGTCCTCATTTCCATTTCAGAGGATTTGTCGCTGATATACAGGAATGCCTTTGATTTATGCGTGTTGATTTTATATCCTGCCACTTTGCTGAATTCATTTATTAGCTCTAATAGTTTCTTTGTAGACCCTTTTGGGTCTGCTAGGTATAGAATCATGTCATCTGCAAATAGTGATAATTTAAGTTCTTCTTTTCCTATTTTGATGCCTTTAATTTCTTTCGTCTGTCTAATTGCTCTGGCCAGTGTTTCGAGAACTATGTTGAACAGAAGTGGTGAGAGAGGGCATCCCTGTCTTGTTCCAGATTTTAGAGGGAATGCCTTCAATTTTTCTCCATTCAGAATGATGCTAGCCTGAGGCTTAGCATAGATTGCTTTTACAATATTGAGGTATGTTCCTGTTATCCCTAGTTTTTCTAGAGTTTTGAACATAAAGGGATGCTGTACTTTGTCGAATGCTTTTTCTGCATCTATCGAGATGATCATATGGTTCTTATTTTTAAGTCTATTGATGTGGTGAATAACATTTATTGATTTCCGTATATTGAACCAGCCTTGCATCCCAGGGATGAATCCTACTTGATCATGGTGCACAATTTTTTTGATATGTTTTTGTATCCGATTCGCCAGAATTTTATTGAGGATTTTTGCATCTAGGTTCATTAGAGATATTGGTCTGTAGTTTTCTTTCTTTGAAGTGGCTTTGTCTGGTTTAGGTATCAGGGTGATGTTGGCCTCGTAGAATGAATTTGGAAGTTCTCCCTCTTTTTCTATTTCCTGAAGTAGCTTGAAAAGTATTGGTATTAGTTCCTCTTTAAAGGTTTTGTAAAACTCTGCTGTATACCCATCCGGTCCTGGGCTTTTCTTAGTTGGTAGTCTTTTGATGGTTTCTTCTATTTCCTCAATTGATATTGGTCTGTTTAGGTTGTCTATATCCTCCTGACTCAATCTGGGCAGATCATATGACTTAAGAAATTTATCTATGCCCAGAAGCTGAATTTAAAAGGCAGTTTGCTCAGCACAGTCTGAAAACAGAGGAAGAATCTGAAAAGAAATTATATGTATGTATGTATATATATATATATATATATATATTTATATATGCATTATATATCTCTTCTTAGAAGTGTCTCCTCAGGTCCTTGGCCCATTTATTGATTGGGTTATTTGTTTTTTTTTTTTTTTTGGTGTTTAGCTTTTTGAGTTCTTTATATACCCTAGAGATTAGTGTTCTATCTGATGTGTGAGGGATAAAAATTTGCTCCCAAGTTGTAGGCTCTCTGTTTACCTCACAGATTGTTTCTTTTGCTGAGAAGGAACTTTTTAGTTTGAATCCATCCCATTTATTGATTCTTTATTTTAATTCTTGCACCAAAGGAGTCTTATTAAGGAACTTGTGGCCTAATCTGACATGATGAAGTTTAGGGCCTACTTTTTCTTCTATTAGACACAGGGTCTCTGGTTTAATTCCTCCTTTATCCACTTTGAGTTGAGTTTTGTGCATGGTGAGAGATATAATTTCATTTTGTTGCATATGGATTTCCCATTTTCCCAGGACCATTTGTTGAAGAGGCTATCTTTTCTCCAACGTATGTTTTTGGCACCTTTGTCTAATATAAGATAATTGTAATTTTGTGGGTTAGTCTCTGTGTCCTCTATTCTTCTCAGAAGAGGATATATAATCAGTCAACAAATATATGAAAAAAATGTTCATCATCTCTAGCAATTAGAGAAATGCAAATGAAAACTACTCTAAGATTTCATCTCACTCCTATCAGAATGACAGCTATTATGCATACAAATAACAATAAGTGTTGGCAAGGATGTGAGGAAAAAGGTACACTTATACACTGCTGGTGGGACTGCAAAATGGTGCAGCCAATATGGAAAGTATATGGAGATTCCTTGGAAAATTGGGAATGGAACCACCATTTAACCCAGCTACCACTCTCCTTGGTCTATACCCAAAGGAATTAAAAACAGCATGCTACAGGCACAGAGCTACATGAATGTTTATAGCAGCACAATTCACAATAGCTAAACGGTGGAAGCAACCTAGGTGCCTTTCAATAGATGAATGGATAAAAAAAAAAATGTGTCATATATACACAGTGGAATATTAATCAGCAATAAAAGAGAATAAAATCATGGCATTTGCAGGTAAATAGATGGAGTCAGAGAAGATATGCTAAGTGAAGTTACCCAATCCCCCCCCCCAAAAAAAAAAAAAACAAATGCTGAGTGTTTTCTCTGATATAAGGGGGCTGATTCATAGTGGGGTAGGGAGAGGAGGCATGGAAGGAATAGACAAACTCTAGATAGGGCAGAGGGGTAGGAGGAGAAGGGAGGGGGCATGGGGGTAGGAAAGACAGTGGAATGAGGTGTACATCATTACTCTAAGTACATGTATGAAGACATGAAAAGTGTGACTCTACATTGTGTACAACCAGAGATATGAAAAATTATATTCTATATGTGTAATATGACCTGTAATGCATTCTTCTGACATATATAAAAAATTATTAAATAATTTTTAAAAATATGCATATATAAACAATTTTAGGCAGTCTTTATTTTTAATTTATACATAAAAATTGTACATTTTTGTGTAGTATCATGTGATTCCAATATATATGGAAACCCCTTTTCTAGGTTTTCTGAAATACTAACCATGCTATCATTATCTGTATTCACCCTAGTATGCAATAACACACAATAAAACTCAGTACTCTTTGATAGAACTATTTCATACTCTTCCTTCCCCCTTCTCTCCTGGGGCTTTTGTACCCACCATTCTACTATCAATTTCTCTGATATCAACATTTTTTTGGAATCCACATATGAGGTGATCATGCAGAAATTGTCTCTGTGTTTGATTCATTTCACTTAGCATAATGATTTTTTTTAGAATTTTATTTATATATGACAGTGGAACTCATTACAATTCTTATTACACATATTTTTAATATCTCTGGTTGTATACAAAGTATATTCACACCAATTCATATATTTATACATGTACTTCGGATAATGATGAACATAACGATTTTTAATATGATCCGTGTTGTTGCAAATCACAGAATTTCATTTTTTTATGACTGAATGGTATTTCATTGTGTACATGTACCATATTTTCAATTCAGTTGATAGAGTTTGACACTGCCATTTCTTGGCTATTGTGAATAGTTGTGCAGTAAATATGGGTGTGCATGTTTTCAATCTACTTTCAATGTACAATGTACAATTTCATTCCCTTTGGATATATACCCAGTAGGAGAATTATGGAATCATATGGCAGTTCTACTTTGGATTTGTGAGGAACCTCCATACTATTTTCCTTAATGGATAATAGCAATGGCTACACCCAGCAACAGTGAAAGGGTGCTCTCTTCGCATCCTTGCCAGGATTTGTCAAGCCACTCTTACTAGAGTGAGGTGGTATCTCATTGGGACTTTGATTTGCACTTCTCTGATAACTAGTGACATTGAACATTTTGCCCTGTACATGTTGGCCACTTATACATCTTTCTTTAAGAAATATCTATTTAGGTTATAGTATTCATTCCAAAGCTTATTTCATTGAGTATTTCCCTTCTCACAAAATAATCTATAACAAATCATTATTTCAAAGTATAAGGTTATAAAATCTTCTTGAGTTAAAATGAAAAACAGTTATAATGTTTGAAGAGATGGACATGTTTGACCTGGTGCAGACTTTGTGCATATATACATTCAAAAGATATCACATGGTTTCTCATTCATAAGAGCAATTTTATGATTTTATGTATCAGTTAAGTGAATAATTTTTAAATGGGAAAATTATAAAACAAAATTGAAAAATGTAATGATGGTCTGATTTTTTGATAAATGAAACATTGAATTTCAAGATATTGTTTTGACTAAATAGGAACAATAAACAAGTTCCCATTCTAAAATTAACATGATATTTGCCATTTACGTATTAATATATTTGCCTTTCAAATTATTCATTGCAGGTCTGAATACACAATGTTATTTTTTTTATATATACACAACTTCCTCCTTTTCATTCAGGGGATCATAACTAAATATATCATTCTGATTTTTTTTACAAAAGAGGGAAGATGGGACAGAATGGACAAGAGCCTGTAAAACAGCCAGGAGTGGGCGTAGGACTAGCCGATACTGAAGGTAAGTTAAATTTACAATACTAAATTTTGGTTGAACTTACATATTGTATTAAAAAATCTTTGCTTTTAATGTGAATAAAATATCTAAGGATGAATTATAAAAGCACAAGGTAATGAATCACTATTAACCATTAAATAAGAATGACTTTGTATTCATTTAACAATTTGCCCCTTTATTTACTTACCTTAGGGTACTGAAAAAATTTAAAGCCTATGGGAAAAATTAAAATAGAAAGAACATAAAGGGTGACAACAAAGATTCAGAAGATTTTCTCAAGGAAAAAATATCTTACTTAAATTTTTAAAAATTTTAATAAGTAGAAAATTAATTTTAACAACTAGAGAATTAATCATAAAACCTCACTGAAGCCATGGTAGTTTTTAAATAAAGGAAGCTGAGATGAAACAAATAGTATAAAAATCATTTTATAAAGAAATTAATTATTTGAACTAACTTCTAAAGTAATAGTCAAATTTAAAATTCAGTTTGAAATTCAACAAATAGGGCTGGGGATGTGGCTCAAGTGGTAGCGCGCTCGCCTGGCATGCGTGCGGCCCGGGTTCGATCCTCAGCACCACATACAAACAAAGATGTTGTGTCCGCCAAAAACTAAAAAATAAATATTTAAAAAATTCTCTCTCTCTCTCTCTTTAAAAAAAGAAATTCAACAAATAGCAAATTATTTCAACATGCAAAAATAAAATTTTTAGCATCAGCAAACACATAATAATAATATGAGCTCAACAATGATTACCTTATCTTTTATAACATTGTGATTAAATCTGGGAGCTCTGAAACCTTTATGAATTTCACCAAAGGCTCAATAATTTTAACTATTCTAAATGTTGTACACTATCCTAAGTACCTTTCATCTATTATGTCATTTAATTTTTAGAATACCTGTGAGGTAAGTAATAGTTTATATTGGCTTTACATGAAAGGAAACAAAACTACAAAGAGCATACAAAGTCCAAACAAGTGAGTTGAACCCAGGAAAACAGCACAAATGTCACACTATTAAAATGACTGATTATGGGCATGGAATCACAATGTTACTAGAAAGGAACAACGAGACTTAGGTTTCAATTCTGGTCTAAATTGTGATGTGATTTATCTGCTTTCAGAAACCTTATCTGACAAATTCTGGGTCTATATGATATTTGTTTCCCATGGATTCAAGAGAATGCCCCATTTTTCTGGTTCTACTCAATCATTCTTAGACTCAATGAAAAATCTGTGCTTCCTCTACCTCCTGCCACCTCTGCCAGAGTTCCATCCTTAATCCACCAACCCTTTTACCTAACTTCTCACATGAACTCATTCCCTCTCCTATGGGTAGTTTAATCCCAAATCTAGTGCCCAAATTTTCCAGAATTCAGACTCAGTCAGGCATTTGTGTCCAACCAGAAAAATAGAAACCACTCTTGAGTGTTTCAAGTAGAAGAAATGCAGGGCTGCAATTGATTATACACTCATAAAAGAACCTGAGAAAACAAAGAGGGGACAGTGAGGCAGCAGAAGGAGGCTACTCTTCTTGTAGGGTCAAGGATAGTAAGAGGTAAAACCAGGACAAGCTTGTTGCTAGGAACAGGAGACAAGGAAGAGACATAGCAAACACCAGAAATATATCCTGAGATGAATTAATTTGAGAAGAAAGACACTGGTTTCCAACTTCCTCCCAATCTCTGCCAGTGCCTGATCAAACCCAGTTGGAAGCCAGGTAACAGGAGACCTGGGAAAGAGCCTATGTGACAGCTACTCTGAGAGGGGTGCAAGGGAAAGACTAAAGAATATATCTGAGAGCATAGAAGCATAGGGACAGCAGAGGATTCTGAGGATCCCATAGATGCATCAAGCAACATATTCCCTGGTCTGAGTTCACCTTCCCCCCATTTTGTCTCCTTTTCTGTCTATGCTCTTCTATAGCTCACAAAATTTGCACTTATTTTCACCATAATTCGCATAATTTATACTGTTTTTTTTTTTTACTTAAATTACCTGTATTCATGCTCATCTCCTCCATAAGAACTGAACAACTTTCAAAACAGAAATATGTTTATTCATCCTGGTATCACAGCACTTGGCAGAAAATCTTGTCCATAGAGTTGCTTAAAGAGGCATGTGGAGAGCTGGGGATATAGCTCAGTTGGTACAGTGCTTATCCATCCTGGCTAGGACCCTGGGTTTCATCACCAGTAACACACACACACACACACACACACACACACACACACACATGTTATTGAATGAACGAATAACTAGAATGAATGATTATACATAAAACTCATGGCTTTTGGTTTCCTATGACTCTAAACTTCAGGTATAAAGAGAAGAAATCAATGGGTAGCTTTAATACCACTCCCCACACCCTCTTCCCCCAAGGTCCTAAGGGTTGAACCCAGGGCCCACTATACACTAGGCAGATCCTCTATGAATTACATCCCTGGTCCTCATGTGTGGTTTTAGCTACTTTGTTTTGACACTCTTTTAACCTCAAAGTTTATAAATACAATTATTTTAGTTTTCAGCAGCTAGCTGTCAATGAATAGATACTGTTAATCGCAGTATTGCTTTCTTTCCCCCATCAGTCCCACATAAAACGTGTTTGTTTTTTAAGAAGGAGCCAATAAGGGGCTACTTTATTTTGCTTCAAACCTATGAGTCAGTGTATTTATACTTTAGTGAACTGACCCTGACCAACTGTTGATCCCAGATTCGTTATTGAGCAGAGGATTGGGGGTTGAGGATAGGAACAACATGGAATATGTGATATAATGTGAGTCATTTACAGGCATGTGCCTTTTTGGTAGCAATATTCCAGACAACTTGTTTTTGACTTAGTTATACCCAACATTAAACAATAACCAAATTTCTAACTTAAATGTCTATGTGAAGCTGGGCTATAAGAGATATATAAAAGACAGTTAATAGTATGCAATAAATATTAAACTCTTTTTAGAAATAACTTAATTAGAAAGAATATATTGACAGAGTAAGGAAAAGTTATTTAACATATTTGTTCTAAGCAGATAGTAGAAAACATCAAATTAAAGTGCAAGATTTTGATTTGTCCATGTAGAAATATGGAATCAACTTTGTGTTGTACTTTAGGCATATAGATAGCTTTTATTTTACTTGTTTTTGTGATCCAGAGACTTACCTTCACTTCCTTTTGTTGTCAGTTAACATAAAGAATTTAATAGGAAAACAAAGAAGCAAAAAGGAATCAATGTAAATTGTTTTAGAAATATTCACTTACCTAATTGTGTTTTTACTCCTTATAATTCTTGACCTGGGTATTAGAAAAACAGTGTCTCTTATAAATAAGGCATTTTTCTGAAAATAAAAAAAAATGTTTGTAATGCTCTACTTCATTTTGAAATTTCATATTATTCATCTAAGCATTTTGTTTTATGAGTACTTTGGCCTATTCTAAAAGAATTGACCTACAAAAACTTCTCTAAGACAATGTACATGAATGTGTAACATAAATGTATCATACACTTATATCAAAAGATGTCATGGATTTTAGGTAATCACCATTAAACAGTTTCTTCTCATAAAATTTTTATTTCTGTTTTGGCATTACAATGTATAGAATGCAAAAGTAATGTTTATGGTGTTGAAATTTTCTGTTGAGAATGATATTGAGACTTTTTTTATACTCAATAGCCATGCCCTTTTTCACTTATTAAACAAGCATATTTATGCTGGCTTCTGATATTAATGTGTCACTTAGTTGTTTTCTCTAATAATGTTTCATCTTCCTTATAGCAGTAACTCATAAATTTTAATCTCAGCATGAGATTAATTCAGTGGGTCAGAATGTGAGATCTATTAAGTTTTGGACTCTTTGTTGTACTAGAAAATGATAATAGTTTGTTGGACTATCTCTGCTAATGATTGGTTGAATGTCCATGACTTAATGTAAAACGCAAATGAGCACTGTGTTTGGCACATGGTTAACACCTTTAAGTTGTGATAGAGGATTTGAGACAGGGACATTGGATCCCATCCAAACCAGTAAGAATATTCAAGATTGATCAAATGTCATGCACTTATTGAGAAAGATGCTCAAGATTACTTCTCTTCAAGATTTAGATCAAACCAATTAGCTTTTCTAATTGTAAAGATGAGTTTTTCCCCAATTTATGTTAAGGTTTCTAATTATACCCTTAAGATAGGCCATCTAGCCCTTCTCTGCATTTTTTCATTAGTTAGATGTATTTAATAGGGTTATTCTTTGCCAGCAGGCATCCATGTAGTAACTGCTTTGATATAATTATTCTCCTAAGCTTGGTGTTTGAAACTTTAGCAAGCATTATAATCCCAACTTTGTATGAGACTTAATTTTCTTGGCTATATATATTTACAGATAAAATAGCCCTAATAAATCATTAATTTTCGTAAGTATCTTTGGAAGCTTGAAGTTAGTTTCAGTGAGAATGGAAATTCAGTTTGCATTCTCAATGGGCCAGAACAAATAAACCTCTACCATCACAGAAATATACAAAGCTATACTTTCAAATATTTTCAGATAATTGAGTAAAAACACACCACCATTAATATCAACCTAAGAGGAGAGTCAGACAGAAATTTGATTCAATATCTCACTGGAAATTGTTTGCAAAGCATAACAATTTAATGCAGAAATGATGGGAATCTATAATGACAACAACAATATCCTGTTACCAGGTATTTCAATACCTATTTTATATAGATGTATATTTTATATATAGTTCTGTGATTAGTATAGACCTGTTTTAGGTATATGAACACACTTTATTAAGTCCACGGCCCAAGTATGGGGCATAAATGACTCCCTGTGCTGATCAGATAGAAATCTAAGCCTTCTGTCTTATCTTTTAAGACAGAAGAATTAGTCTTCTGTCTTGTTCAAGATAAACATAAAAAGACTTCTGAAAAATTATTTTCTCAAAGTATTTTCTCTGTTAAATAATAACTGGATTATATAACTGTATGTCTTAAGGAGTTTGCAA